GAATCAATAAAAAATGTAAAAAAAAATCAAATAAATGCCCTTTATCAGAAAAAAAATTAATATTACTAACAATAATGGCAATAATGATTTAATCACTTATTTTTAGATATCATGGCTTAAGCTAATAAAAAAAAATCATTGCTTTTGGAAAAAAAAAAAGGACATAAGTGAAGTTGTTTACAAAACAGACAAACATAGAAAACAAACTTATGGTTACTCAGGGAAAAAGTGGTGGGGAGGGGTAAATCAGGAGTTTGGGATTTGCAGATTACTAGCTACTATACATAAAAGAGATAAACAACAACTGTATAGCACAGGGAACTATATTCAATACCTTATAATGGCCTATAATGAAAAAGAATATGAAAAGATAGGTATATGTATAAACGAATCACTATGCTCTACACTAGAAATTAACACAACATTGTACATCAACTATATTTCAGTTTTTTAAAAAATGAGCCAACTAGGAGATAAAAAGATTAACAAGGGGTGTAAGGAAACTCTGGAGTGATACATAAGTTCATTATGTTGATTTGCGTTATTGGCATAACATGTAATATGTAATGTAATATGACATATTCATATGCCAAAACTTATCAAACTGTCACTTTAAATATGTACAGTGTGTTATATGTCAATTATATCTATGTGAAGCTGTTTTAAAAAGCTCTAGAACAATAGGAAAACAGAGTTGCAGAGCCAATGAAACAAAAGGAGAATCATCATACCATTATAGAACAAATAAATAAATCATAGAAAATTAGTAACAGTATATTGCACAAGACATATTAGTTTCTGATATCAATTAAAGGCTTGTGAAATCAAGTGTCAAGTTGTACAACTTCAGGGAGTTTGCATGTCCTAGTCCAGGATGGGAAAGGGGTCCCCTGGAGCCCTGCAGTCCATGGCCCTTGCAGCCCCAAGCCACCTCCCTGCTTGAGATGATCACAGTGAATGTAGAAGGAAAACACAAGATCAAAGAATACAGTAAGATTTTAACAGAGCTGGAGAAAAAAATTGACCTTATGTTAGAATAATTGATCCTTTCACAGTAGAAATCACCATAAATGAAATAGAAATTAATAATAGAAATGTAAAAATCCCTGAAAAGAGAAATAATGGAATTTTATGATTAAAAAAGTACACTATTCCCAAGGGTCTTGGGGTAGGAGGCAGGGATATGATATAGAAAAATCAATAGCCAGACATAACCTGGAAAAATTTGTTAAATTTTTAAGGACAAAGAAAGAATGCTTTGTGAGTCCCAAGTAGAAAAGTAAGTCTTCAATAAACTGTAATGAAGCAGACTGGCCTTGGAATCTTTGGCAACAATATATAATTCCAAGAAACAACAGAGGAATATATTCAACATTCTGATGGAAAGAAAATGAAAGCTAAGATTATTATATCCAGCCAAGAAGTTATTCAAGAATAAAGACCACAGGAAGGTATTTCCAACTAGGAAGAAACTAAAGGAATTATAGTACTCCTGATTCCTTGTTGAAAAGCTACTTGATTTTGAAATTCAGCTAGTAGTGGTAGAAACCCAGTGGTGGAGACTTACTATCCCCTCCCAATATATACTTGTCCTCCTTCTTTGGTCATAAGAATCCGATATTTACCTGTACAAATCATCACCCACCTACACGGCTACATTCTTAGCCTCCCTTGCAGCTAATTATGGTCAAGTCATGCAGTTTTAGCCAATAGTATATAAGCAGAAATGACAGGTGCAAGTTTCAGGAAGTCTAACTAAAGGGAAGGAGCACATCCATCTTCAGCCTTCATCCATCCTGCTGCCTGAAAGATAGGTGCAATGGGTGGAGCCCTGGCAGCCATCTTAAACAATGAGGACAAAGAATAAATCCTAATGATAATAGAGGAGTCAGGTAGAAAGCACTTGGCTGCCTAATAAATTTGTAGATCTGCCAAACCTCTGGACTGCTGCTTCAGGCTTACTTTATACGAAAAATAAGTAAACTTTCATTTTGCTTAAACCACCATTTTTTGTTGTCTTGTTGTTGTTATATGCTGTGGGACCAAATTCTGACTCATATACCAGTCTATTAACAGATACATTTACGTAAGGAACTTAGGTATGGGGAAGCTATGGTTTTATACACAGAGTTCATTCAATTCTTTCCTAAGACTGAAAACACGGATGTAATTATGCCTACAGAATAGAATAGAAATATTGTAAAGTTTAAAATTTTTTTTAAAAATAACAGAGTTAACAATATCACAGCAGTGAGAAGAGGGAGTGGGGGAGTGTAAGAGTGCTCATCCCCTGATCTCTCTCAGCAGGAAGTCAATCAATACTGCGTAAATTTGATAGATGTCGTTTTAAACCTGACTCCCACCTCCTAATGCTCTCTATAATCCCTTAGAGAGGATCTGTTAGAAAATCTCTCTTGTGCTGAAGAAATATTTGTCTAAATGGAGCAATTCCTTCCATCCACTTGAGATTCTTTTTTCTTCTTTTAAACTAAAATAAAATTAAATTTAATACTTTTTAATTAAAAAGTAGCTTGCTGTGTGGTGTGATCCCACCTTTATATTCCTGTCTATTTAGGCTTCTATCAAGATGTCTGTTGATTTCGGGGGGTTACATTTTGTGGGGATTATTTGTCTTTTCCTTAGTGACTTTCTTAATTTCTTGAATTCTTTATAATGGGCATGTATTACTTTTTTAGCATCAATGAATTGATAGTGTACTTTTTGTTGTATTACCTAATAATTACCAAGGGCATCCCTCCAAGTCATTGATTAATTAGCATCCTATAGCATGGATGTACATTAATTTATTTAATCACTTCCTTCTACATGAATATTCAGGGTTTTTTTACATATGTCACTTCACCTTCTTACATCATAATTTTTCTGTATGCTCAATTTCCAAAACTGAAGGTTCTGATCAAACTAATATGCACATTTTAAAGTCCAGTAGTGAAAAGACTGTGCCCTGATTACACTCCTACCAATTATGAGAGCGCCCAATTTCCCTTTCCAGTAATGGATACTACCAACACTTTAAAATTACGCCAATTTGGTTTAAAAACTGGTCTTTAATTGCTATTTTAGTTTTCACGTCCTTGATTCTTTGTTAGGGTGAGCCTTTTTTCCCCTGTGTTATTGTTTATTTGTGGCTTTTCCTTGTTCATTTATCTCTCAAGTTGTCTTTTTCTTATCCACTCTTAAAAAGCTCCTTTTAGATAAAGGGTACCAATTTTCCTTATACATCCTATAAATCTTTTCCTCCAACATTAATCATATGTCTTTTGATTTTGTTTATGGTAGCTATTTCCAGACATATATGCTGAATTCTTATGTGGCATATATCACTTTTACCATAAGAGTGAGGTCATTTTTGAATGCTCAAAACAAAAGCAAAAGCAATGTTTTTGCCCATTGCATCACGCCCACTGCCCACCCGCAGCCTTTGAAGTCCAAGTTCCCCCAGTGTGGCTTGCAGATCCCTCCATGAGGGTCCTGTGTGCTGGTCCAGTGAGGCTGCCCCCTCCTCCTCAAGAGACTTCGTCCTCCATAAATGCAAAATGCAGCTAGTTATTGTCTCATACACATTAAGGGGCCTCCTGTCTCTGAGCTGCTCATCTGCTGATCCTTGCTCTTGGCCAGAGCCCACTTTCATCCAAGATTCTCTCCTCCTCTAGGGAGGTTTCTCTGAATCCCACCTCCCTGACCGCCAGCCTAGAGAGCTCTCTTTTGGAGCCCACCATGCCCTAAGTCTAGCTGGTGTCCATCTACTGCACACCTGGAGGGCCTTCCGATGCCCACCTGCCAGCCGCCATGCTGACTGGTCAAGGCCTAGCCTTTATGTGCTGTTACTGATTTTTAATATCACCCCTGACCTGAGTACATATCTACTGCCCTTATTACCACAGACTTTAAATATCCATTTATAGTTATGTTCCCTGGACCACCAGCTTTCCGAAGGCAGAGCTATACCTTATTCATCTTGTGTCTTCAACTCTTGCCTGGTGAGATGAATAGATGAATGAAAAGTCTCCAGAGGTTTGTCAACATAAGAGTGTCTGGATAGGCCCAGTAGAGGCCAAAGGCTGGGACAAGGTGATGCCTAAAAATTAGCGACATATACAAGCTAATATCTAAAAAAGGCCTTCCTATCCCGTCCCAGTATCTCCACTTCCAAACATTCCATCACAAAAATAAATGAAACTAAACAAAATAACGTGCACAGAGACCACTGCTTCTCCTCTAGCCTTGCAAATGTCCTCAGCTATTGTGATTTTCCAAATCACTCTCAAATCCATCACATGCTTGGAATCCCTGGAGACCACCATGAGGGGATGATATAACCATTTTGCAGAAGAGAAGACTGAGCCTGGGAGAGGTCAAAAACATGGCTTGGATCTGAGATAATAAATCACAGGCTTGGCCTGGAAATGACTCCGAAATACATTCTTGTCCAACATTATGCCTTTAAATTGATAAGGTACTGTATCTCAAAGGACCAGCCCATAATAGCTTACCCATTTTCTGATTTGATATTTCGGGTATCTTGGGATATCAGACGCCAGCAATCATGTATGCTCCAGTAATCAACAGCAAACAGTTCTGTCTCTGAACTTTTAACAGTTCACCAAATGCCTCCTAATCTGGCCACCTCCAAATAAATTGCTCTAAAATATTATTTTATGAATATACAGTATCCAATAACAAATAGTATCTTTTTGCGAAATTAATTTCAATTTAGCCTTAACTAATACTAAATGGCAATGGAATTACATATTACATACACATTACTACAGAAAGAAGTTCATCATGATTAATGTTATTACAGTGAACACCAAAGGAATTAATAATGATTTGCAGTTATTATAAAGTGGTACTGGTGTAGGAAAAAAGGTTAAGTCTAATTAAATTCTGGCAACCACTTTAGGGCTCTGCCGCAATGAGGATGCTGGGTTTTATGTTAATTAATTCTATATGAAAGGTTGCTGAAGTGTTTTAATATTGTTCAAAGAGCCACGATTTTACTACCACTGTGTGTTTTGGTTTTGGTTTTCTCCACAGTGACCTGTCGGCATGGGTGAGCCGTTAAATTCTTGGGAATCACCAGGTGTTAGGAGGTTAAGGGTTGCTAATTCTGATCTCAGAGTAGGCATGCTTCGTGGTGAGGCCAGTTTCTCCAGGGAAGGGCACATGATGGGAAATGGATGACCTTTCTTGGGAACTGGATCTTGGGTTTCCCGAGTAGCTTTCCGGGTTGGACGTGGCTCCAGGCCTGTCCCTACACATAGGTGGGGTGGGCAGCCTGGACATCTCAGAAGGGTCCCATCCGGCCCCAGATAGGGTAACACAGTGCCCGATCTTCCACTGTCATGAGCAGAAGTCAGCGTGGGTGAGCTCAGGGTCTGGGAGGATCTGGAGATCCAGTTTCCATCATGGTTCTGTGGCTCATTTCCTTTGTAACTTGGGGCAAGTCATTAAAATTCTGAGTCTGAATTCCCTCAGACTTCACAGTATTGTTTTCAGGATTAAATCAGAAGATGAATAAGAAGGAGAGGTGAGAAACTCTGAGAAGCAAACAATTTAGTGAGCTTATGCGTGACCTTCCTCTGGGTGACGGTCCGCTTGTCACACATCTAATTCCTATAGCCAGCCTTCTGAGCTCCTTAAAGATGGGGACAGACCTTAAATTTAAATATTGTTTCTGTTTCATGCCACACAGAAATACTTAATCTAACATTTCAGAGTGCGACGTGTGGTGGGAACTTGTTTTCATCAGCGTAGATTTTCAATCACATAACTTGTTAAATTAAGAAAAACACACGAGTTGGTATCTCTGGTTGTCTTACGTCTGCAAGCCCAGGACATGGCTGAATGCTTGGCACAGGATTAAGTTCAAATAACTTTAATTCAAGTAAATAAATTTTAGTTGAAGAAAGGACGGACGGATGGATGGATGGGCGGGCATCCTGAGTTCTCTTATTTCCAATACAGACAAAGCATTTGTGAGAATCCTGTTAAGGTCAAATCTGAATCTTGACAGTGGCCTCAGTGATCACTCTTTCAGTCTTGTGGGCATTGGTGGGAGCAGGTCAGGCTTTGGCAGATCCGCCTTCCACATGGCCACCCCTGAGCACTGTCCTGGCACCCAAATGCCTCCCCAGCACCCAGCAACCACTTGCCCTCCACTGTCCATTTCCAATGCCTTTCTTGGAAGCAGCACTTAAGCACACATCCCCATCTACAATGATCTTTCCCTCCTCTGGGCCCATGGAAACAGAAAGTCTAGCCCAGAGCATCTCAAACTTCGGGGGCATGAGAACTGCCTGGAGATCTTGTTAAAATACAGATTGTTGGGTCCCACCCTCTGAATTTCTGATTCAGTGGGTGCAAGATGGGGCTTGAGAATTCGCATTTTAACAAGTGCCCAGATGATGCAGTTGCTGCTGGTCCAGCACCTTGAGAACCTCAGGTTCAGCCCTATGGACCCGAAATGAAATTAGTACCATTTTCCTTAAAAGAGGGTTATTTTGAATCAGGAGTTTGTTGAATGTCGACATGGCACCTCCTTTCTGCCTTCCAGCAGCGATCCAAAGCCAGCGCCGTTACCACCACCCTCACCTTCTAGAAGAGGAAGCTGGCTCTTGGAGGGGGAGCAGCCCAATCAAGGTCAAGGGGCGCAGAACTTCTCTCATGACCCAAGGCTGACAGTCAGGCTGGGAAGCCCCAGGCTGCATCGCCACATGCAAACAAAGCGTTTCTTCCAGGAACAGTGTCTGATACAGTGAAATACACGATCCGTGAGCCCCACAGTATCTCCCAAGTGGTGGTGGGGGAACAATGACAGTAGATTGATTAAGGGTCAAAGTGTGAAAAGGATCCTGAGAAAAATAGTCTAGCTCAGGTCACCTGACCAGCTCTGTGACCCTTGACAGGGCAATTAACCTCTCTGGGCCTCCCAGGTCATCTTGCCTAAAGCTCTCACCCTCTTCCCACCCCTGACTGCTGTGCACATGCTGGTCTGTGTCCTAGTGCCAGGAGTGTCTGACAGCCCAGCAAACTGAGCTTTCCTTGGGGGCTTTATGCCCTCCACACCACCCAGGACAGTGCTTTGGCTCCTTTCCTTCCCTCAGCATCAGGGGCATCTAATTGATCCTCCTCTGGCCTTTGTAGAGCCAGGGAGGAAGTTACCAGAAGCCAGAAATGCAGACAGCCAGTTCCTGATTAAAAGGAAACCTATTGTGTGGAAGCTATTAAAAAAAAAAAGCCACCAGTGAACTCCACATTTTAGGGCTGTGTCATCAGCGCTGAATCCACTCTGAGTCCATTAGCAGCCCAAGTGCTGGCGCTAAGGCCCCCAGACTCCTTGGAACCTGGAGAGCAAATCTCTGGGGGAGCTGACTCAGCCCTTTGTCCTCTCAGAGGTAGAGAAATTGGATTCCAAGCCATAGAGGATGGCAGGTCGGCATCCAGAAGGCTGGAGAGACAAAGGGCTTCTGCCAAAGAGGACGCGGCCCAAAGTTCCTGTCTAGAGCAAAGGTGGGACAGAGAAGAAAGAGCCAGGGAGGGAGGGAGGAGGGGATGGAGAAAGGTAGGAAGGGAAACAGCGGGGGAATGAGGAGGAAGAACTGACTTATTGCTAATGAATCCACAGCAGGCATGGTGCATGCCACATCATTCATTCCAACGACAATAAGCTTTCAAGGTAGATATTATCCCCATTTTACAGTTGTCATAACTGAGGCTAAGACCATGGAGTGACTTACGTAGCTCAGTGGATTCGGGCAAGTGATACAGCATAAATTCAGATTCAGATGTGTCGAATCTCAAAGGCCACACATGTTTCATGGCCCTGGGCGGTGCTTCCAGTTGGCTGCCAAGAAGTCTCTGTAAAGAGAGAGAGGGGTGCCTTGGGGCATGGCCCTGGACGGTGCATCCCAGACACCCAGCTAATGCTCGCCAGATCCTGAGCCCAGGAACACCTGGTTCCTACAGAGGAATATAAACAACAGACCTTAAAAAGGCCTCTGTGGCTGCGAGGAGTGGAGGACAGACATGTTGCATGTCCATTAGTGCTCACTGCTAACCCTCAGGTAGTAATGTTACCTTAAACTCATGGAACTGGTACTGATGGGCCAGTTTCATCCTTAAAACAAGTACAAATGCAGACAGACCTCTAGTTGAAAATTCCCTGCTCTCTGGCAAGCCTTGCGGAGTCTCCAGCTCACCAGGCTGACTCCCACTGTTCAGGTAGCTCTAAGGGTGTACCTGTAGTCTAGTCTTTGGACTTACCTTCAACCAACTATAACGGGGTGTGATACCTCCCCCACCTGGCTGTGAGTGTCTTAGGGGGAGAATTCTCTCTTCCTTGGCTCAGCATCCTCCTCACTCCTGGGCTGATTAGTGTAGGGTGTAACAGAAAGAGACTCGACCAGAGCTGTCCAGTAGAACTTTCTGCACCATCCAACATGGCAGCCAGTTGCCCCATGTGGCTACTGGGCATACAGAATGTGGCTAGAGCGAATGAGGAGCTGAATTTTTCATTTGACTTTATTTCAACTTATTTAAATTGAGATAGCTCCAGGACCAGACACTTTGTAGATATATGTTGGGTACAAGAGAGTAAGGAAGAGAGAAGGACAAAAAAAGAAAGAAAGAAACAGACAGGAAAAAAAAAAGGAGGAGAAAAAAAGGGGAAAAACAAGGAGGGTGGGAAAATGCAATCAGATCAAGAAGGGAGGGTAGGAGGGAGGGAAGGAAGGAAGGGGGGATGTAGGGAGGGAGGAGGGAGGGAGGTTCCTTGGGAGGGAGAGAGAGGAGGAGAAAATGTTAATTACAACTCCTATCAGACAATATCAAGGGAAGCTTCAGGTTGGTGTCTGGCTGCTACCTGAACACTTCGCAGGTTTGCCTTGGAGTGATGGAGAAGCACAGACCAGCCCCAGCTCACCCAAAGCTCTCTTCGCCCTTGGTGAGCACAGCTTCCGAAAGAGCGCAGGTTCCAGGATCTGAAAGCACATCAAGTGCGGATTGCCCTCCAAAGCCTCAAAACTTAGAACCGGAGATGCAAGAGCGTCAGGCAGACAGAGGACTCGGATCTCGGCTGGCCCACTCTCCTTGGCTGCACAGACAGGAACTGAACTCAGGGCGTGAGGGACGGAGTCGAGAGAGGTGAAGACCCCCCAACCCGGTGTCAGGGGTGGGCCTGCCCTGCCCCCACACCCCTCCCCCTCCTCCCTCCCTCCCTGTGCCTCCATCTCCACGTTAGCAATATATTTCCAGGACACTCTAATGAAGTACATCTTGAGTCTCCTTTTCAGGGCTAATGAGGAGACAACAAGAATTTGACTAATACCAGTACAATTACTGGAGCAGTGAAGCGAGGGCCTCTGATTAGACGTGATAATTTGCAAGGCTGGGCTCTTCACATTAAGTTTGCAAACAGTTTAAAAATCACTTCCTCTATTTATCCAGCTAATCCCTGTTTAATGACTCCAGACCCCAGAAAAGAAAGGGGAAATGTCTCTTTAAAAATTAATAAATAAATAAATTAGAACACTAACATTCCCAACCTTATTTGCCCAGACAGGAGAGATGGCAGGAGTGGAACCCGACTGCCGTGTTTTCAGGCAGACTCAGCCAAGATTTCACAGCTCCGAAGGACTGTGCGATCCCCCAAACCTTGGTCTTTGTGTTCCCTTCGGCCACTGATCCAGCCTGGGCTTCCCCTCACAGGACTGCTTGTCCAGCACAGAAAAAAGGTCACCTCCCTGGTGATGGGTCTAATGGCCTGATTTAGGAACAGCTTTGGTGGCCACCAGTCTCCAAAGGATGGACACAGGTGAAATTCCATTGCAGCAGAGGTTTTGTATAATCTTCCCAAAGTGTGGTCCTGGGACCAGTGACACAGGCATCACCTGGGAGCCTGTTACAAATGCAGAACTTGGGCCCCACCCCCCCAGACCTGTCTATCGGAATCTGCCTTTTCAAAAGTTCTGGGGGACATGTGTGTGCGTTGACATTTGAGAAGTGCGGCTTTATGACATATCATTTGCGTGACTGGGAGGATGACCTGGAGACACGAGGCTTTGTTGATTTCCCTGCTACCAATTCCGTGGAACTGTGTTTGTCAGAGTGCATTCAGCAGAGATTCATAGCAGGGATTATGCAAAAGAAAAGTGTGTTTGGGAAATGCTGGGTTAAACAAAATTAAAATTATTTATTTACTACACGTTTTTACAGCATCTTTATAATACCTGTAAGCATTTTGACATCCATGAAGGAGTCTGTTTACAGTGTTTCCCAAACTCACTTGAAGCCAGACTCTTCTTGATGAGCGTGGAGCATCGTAGTTCCAGGGAAAGAGGGACATTTTGTCAGACACGTGGTTCTCTGATCCCAGCCATGGGGTTTCTCCTCTTCAGCAAAGGTACACCCAGGAGAGGAAAGCAAGGGGTCCCACAGGTCTATCCAAAAGCTCCCCCTCTCCCATCAGCTTCCTCCAGAAGTCTACTCGCAAGCAGAGAAGCTCAGCTCAGTATCAAGTACTTAAGACCATCAAATCCAGGCCTCTGGACAAGGCAAAGGATCGGGGATGGGAGATGGAGGTACAGCCTTCTTTTTTTAATAATAACTTGCCTTAGAGATGACAGCACTCGTGCTATTATTTCTCCTCCAGTTCTTGTTGAATTAAGAACAGCTAATGTGATCTGTGAGGCTCACACTGTGTCAAGAGCTTTCTGTGCTTAGTCCATCAAATTTCCATGAGACCCTGGAAGTGGCCACTCTCTCAATGGCACCATTTTACAGATGAAGAAACTGAAGCCCACCACGGTTATATGGCCGACTGAAGCCAAGCCAGGGAAGTGAGGGTGGCACCAGGATTCAAACACAAGCTGAGCCCCCAGGCCCTGCTCTGCAGAGTGGGAGGGCACACGATTGTAACGAAATCCTAATTAACACACACAGGCACCTGCACATTCAAGTCTATGACCCTAATCCCCAAACACTTATACAGAATTAAATTAAGGTTTGCATTCCTATGTGAGTACACATCTACAATATAGGACACATTATAGTGAGATTTCTTTTGCCTACAGAACCTGAAATCACAAAATTGGGTAGAACTTGGTACCATTTCCAAAACAAGCAGTTCATTTCTTCGTCATAATGCCCCTGAGGGTAAAACAAAACAGGTGTGTCAGGCGCCCACTTTTGGGAGGGGAAAACTGAGACCAAAGGAAGGAAATGATTTGTCTCAGGCCTCACATTCACCAAAAGTGACCCAGCGTGAACTTAGTGAGGATCCTACGTCTCCCTGGGGTCTGAGCCCACACTCCAGACCGCCAGCAGCGGTGGCCGCCCCCTCACGCTGTCCCCAGCCTTCTTGCGCCAAAGGAAACTCAGAGCCACCAGGACCCGTTGAACTTTCAAACTGTATACCTGGGGGAACACAAATGGCTCAACACTAAGAGATGGTGGAGTGAAGGCTGCATGTAGGTCCGTGTGTCTGCGCCTTCACTGCCACACACACACACATATACACATGCATACACACACACACACATATACACCTACACACGTATACACGCATGTGCACACATATACATGCACACACACAATACACGCACGCACACCATACATACACATACACCCACAAACACAATACCTGAGGCACCCACATGTACACAGATGTACAATACACACACATACATATATACACAAGACAGGCATATACACACATACATACACAATACACACATGTCCACACAGAAGTGCACCCATACACAGTACATGCATGTGCACACACAAATACACACACACTCAGCCCTTGTATTGTATGCTGACCAGGGTGTTATTTCAGCTGCTGACTTTGCCAGGAGTTTACGCACAAGCCACCCCACTCCCCTCTGCTGGAGGAGGCTGCCTTAGCCAATGAGCACTAATGGAAATGGGGTTTCCTGACCCATGGGCAAGGGTCAAGAGGAGCCAAGAAGTGGTCACCTTGAAAGAAACCAGGAGGAAGCTTGGGAAGGGAGGCGCACAGACTCTGCCAGGTAAGGAGGGTGCTGGGTCGGGGCAAGCCAGGGCCTGGACGGATGCCCAGACTACCAGTCATGGGACCTGGAATCCACCCCAGCTCTGCTGCAGCTGGACTGTGTGACCTTTCCCCTTCTCCCTCCTGCCTCAGTGTGTCCATGTGTGCAATGAATCTGTTGAATCGTTTGATGGCAGGCTTCTGTGAGTCTGACTTTAAGCCTGGCAGGTGGGCAGAGGAGCCACCATAAGCTTGAAGCCTAGGAGTTCAGAGGACAGGAGTCCTTCTGGGGACCCCCCACTCATATATCAGAGAGCATCCGATGAAAACCAAGTGATGCTTCCCCTTAGGGAGCTGGCTGCCGGTGCCCCACTGTGTGACCTTGACCAAGTCCCCATCCCTCTTTGGGCTCAGAGGCTCCATCTGGCTCCTGAAGACAGAGGACTAGGTAGCACTATATTCCCCAGCAGTGTGACATCATGAAGAGGGAGGATTCTAGATCCAGGCTGCTTGGGGTTCAAATCCCAGGCTTCATCACTTACTAGTTATCCTATTAGGCATGTTACTTGATTTCTCAATTCCTCCCCTGCAAAACGTGGGTAGTAAAACCACTGCCCACATGGGAAGGGGGAAGGAGACAGGAGATCGTGGCATTAGCAGGGCCGCACAGGGGAGAGAAGACTGGCACCTTTGATTGGGGTCCTGGAAAAAATATAAAAAGCCCGGCCGGGGAATCTGCACAGTATTTGTAGGCATCTGGGTTTAAAAACTCAAATGCCTAAGATAACTATAGCACGACCTGTCCCGGCAGAGGACTACACCAGTCTCTCTGTTACCAGTGTGGAGGGAT